GCAGGGCTCTTGGCACATAGCCCAAGAGCTAAGAGAGGATCACGATGCATCATCCCTAAGTGAATTGCTCTGAGAGAGAAAACACATTTCTGGGTTTGCTCGGAAAAAAAAAAAAGAGAGAGAGAGAGAAAGAATGACCTATCATAATAGCAAAGACCAGATCACCTACTTTGTGTGATCACAGCAGGGCCACCATGCAGTTAGAAACTGAGTCTGGGCACAGAATTGTCCCCAGTTGAGAACCACCGACCAACACTTACAGTTTCTGATTCCATGGAAATGGGTTTGGTACATGGACCCACACATGAGACCATTCAGAAGCAAATGTGAGACAGAACTGAATTCAAATTTACCAGCTTAGTAATGGTGAATAAGTACAAAGTGTAAAATACTAAGGGGAATTCAAACAAGGAAAAGTGAACAAGGAAAGGTCAGAACAATGTCCTTTTTTCACTGGGTAATTAATTAACTTTTCTCATCTTTGTCATGTTAAAAATGTACCATTTCCTCACTAAATGAAGACACCACCAGTACATAGGTGATTGTTTAAATGCCAAGCAAAACAATGAAAGTTTGGTAAATTGACGAATGAGAAGAAATGAAGTTTTTCCCTAAATTCTGGGGCGCATGTGTTTAATCAGAAGTGCTTCTGAGTAACATGCCAAGGGGCAGGAAGTGTGGAATACAGAAAGTAGATCTGGGGGACCTGGATACCACAGCGAGCACGTACCCCAGAAACGTACCTTTCCTGGTACCGAGGAGCACGGCGGTGGGCTCTGTCTTGGCTCTAGAATTAATTGTGTGCACCCGTAACTTACAGGGCCTGCCTACACGAGGTGATGATGTTAATAGTTTTCTAAAAAAGAATTAGCAGATCAAAGTATAAAAATCATCCCGTTGAAGTGTTGCATAGATACCCCAGTGGTGTGTAGTTGTTCTTTCTGTTCCGTTTGTACAATACGACTCAGGGTGTCCTAGAAGATCAGCGTGGAAAGCCAGCCACCTGGCTGTCGGGGGTTGGTTTTTGCTCCACCTGCACCCGGAGCTCTGTTTCCCATGCAGTTACTCCCAGTGTTTGTTCACCGAGGTGGTCCTTCCCTACCCAGACCCACTGACACTTCCTTTCTGAGCAGATGATGGCTTTTAAAGTTTGGATCAAGCCATGCTACACAATTACTATCTAATAGCTTCTGTGCTTACACAATAACTCAGTCAGTGTTTCCTGTTTTCATTCATGTTGTAAGTTGACTAGCTGTAATTCCCACCCCCTCATAAAAGAGATTGCCAAGACAAATAATTGTGGCATGTGCAAACATTTCCCTGCAAGCCTTTTTAAATAGGCAGCTTTCAGAAGTCTACATTCCATGCTTTTCAGGAATGCTCAGTCATAGTAAGTGTACTTGCTTCGTGAGTCAAGAACAAGTTCATGTTAAAATCAATGCTAAATAATTCTGTAGCCCGTACCCCTTTGAAAATATTGAGAGCAGCGAATGTGGTAAGGGAATGAATGTACTAGGAAAACTTGCGGCTTTTTCATGTTGACAGTTCCTAGGAAGTGCCTAGGAAATGGAGCTTGCCAATGAGAGTGGCTTGTCCCCTCCACACATCAGGACCCTCTGAGGTACTGAGACACAGATACACAGCACTTCACAGTGTCTATTTCCAAGTTCATACTTGTTGATGACACCTTATTGTGTTCCTTACTTTTCGTAAATACGGGTTGCATGTCAGCTTATCTTTCCCATGCTCTCTGTGTTCCTTAGCAGCGTGATTATTTGAAAGCAAACGGCGTGATGATTTCATAATTGCAGAAATGTTTTCAAAGGATAAGAATTTGGCGCTTCTGATCTCTACCCATCACGTGCCTCCACATTTCCTTTGCATTTGGAAGCCGCGGTCCCTGGGCCTTTATTACTGCATCCTGTTTTCTTCTCCAGCTGAAGTTCTCTTTGCTACTACTGGTTTTGTCTCCCAATCTCTCTCTTAAAATATGAATGTAAGCTTAGCTAGCCTGTCCAGACATATGAGAAGGCTTATTTTTATCAGATGTAACATATATATCTTTTATTAAAACTGTTTGGTATTTTAAGAGAAAAAGAGAAGTCTGGTTGGGAAGCGTAAGAATACTTAATTCTGTTTGATTCTGCGTTTTGTGTCTGTCTACCTAGATCCACTGAGTGATAGCCTTTACGTTGGATCCTTATTGGCTCCAAGTCCCACTCTGATAGTTTCTTTATATCTTTGTTAATTCATTTATTTATATGTGTCAGGTACAGTGTCAGGTTCTGGAGATACAAAGATGAAGAAGTCATGGTCCCTTCCCCCAAGTGGGAGACAGCCCTACATCTAATGAGGATGTCACCTGCAGAAACAGACATGGGCCTGTGAGGGAGCCACCCCAGGGACTTGGGGGAGCAGGAGGGACGGCTGACTGTCCGAGAGGATGGGGGCAGATTGCAGGAAGTGGAACCTCTGAGCTGAAGCTTGGACAGAGTTAAAGAAGGGGCGGTAAAATGCCTGGACATGGCAGGAATTCGACACATGCTTAAGAATTGGGTATGATTGCTAGCAAGTGGCAGATCTGTTCTTTGGGTAATAGTGATGCCCAGCGTTTTTGTGAGTGTTAGTCGCTTATTCCTCCTGACAAGTCAGGTGAGGACAGTGAGGCTCCAGTAGGTTAAATACCTTGCATGGATTGCACAGCTGGGAGGGTTTCTGGATCCTGTCTGTCTGTCTGTGGTCCGTCTTTGATACTGAGGATAGTCACCAGTGATCCGGTACTGATGACCTTGCTCTCTCTCTTTTCCCCTAATGCGAGCCCGCACTCTAATGGCTTTTGACAGAGTCAGCCTGCTGTTCCTCCCCTGGAGTCCCCCGTCCCTCCGCCACAGTCAAGTTGACACTGGTCTTACCAGGGGGATCGTTACCGCCAAGCAGCTCAGCCTTTGACCACCCCTGAGAACGTTGCTACAGTTGTCCCAGATACGGTGTATCAAGGAGCCCCTTCTACTTTTTAAAATCATTCTGCTATGTCATTCGTTCAAAGAAAATATCATAAAGGAAGCAATGACTTGCAGCTATACTGATTCCAAACTGAATATTTTTAAAAGGATGTTTTTCAATATGTCAAAAGCATATCAATAGTCATAAAATTTCTTTACGTACTCCGGCTCTGTACTCACCCTTGGGAATTTATTCTGAGAATATAAATTGAAAGAGGTTAAAGCTCATATGCACTGATATTTTGCAGCATTATTTATATTGGAAACAACCCAAATGTCCAATAATAGGGGGAACAATTTGTAATCTCGGTACATAAATGTAACAAAATTATAAGCTGCCACTTAGAGTCATAAATTTTGAAAGTTTTTAATACAACAAGAAAACTGTGATCATTTTAAAGGAGAACTACAGAACTGTGCCTACTTTATAAAAATTATATGAGCATGTGACATACTAAAAGGAAACCATAACTCAAAGGTGGATGTGTTTAGAGCTTGAAATTGTGTGACATTTTATCATTTTTATTTCCTTAGTACTTATTAAAGTACGTGTATTCAGTGAATGCTGGAAACAGGTATCTTCATTCTTTCACATTTTAAATGTTTTCATTTTATCTTGGTAAATTTTTTTACTGCTGATTCATATCTCTGTTGTAAATCATGGCCTTGTTTGTATTGCCAGTATACAGAGTATATTTCATAAATATTTACCATAGCGTTTGTTACATTAATAGTGTTCCTCTCCTAGAGCCGTGTGCTTCTCAAATGTCAGTAGGCATTCATCTCACCTGGGGATCTTATTAAAATGCTCATCGGATCTTGGGGGCCTGGGCAGGGCCTGAGACTCTGCATTTCCAGGAAGCCCCCAGGTGCTGCTGGTTCTCAGCTTTCCTTTGTGTGTGAGGACTCGACCACTAGCCCAGTGGCCGGGGAGGGAATAGCTAACAATAAGTGTCGTCAGGAAGGAAAAATTTCTTCACCCTTCTAAGTTCTTCTGGCTGATTTATGAATTAAGTTGACATGGGACAGATTAGCAGGAGAAAATCAAGTATAATTTCGTATGGACGGGTGCACCATAAGAATATGGGGCTCGCAGACAACCAGGTAACTGGGGCTTATGTGCCCTTCTGAACTGAAGAGAATGGGTAGAAAGGTGGGACTTTGAAGGGGAGGAATTCACATGGAAACACAGTGTTGGCTGGACCATTCAGACTCCGGGACATGGGGGGGACTTTGATCTCCAGGCCCTGTGCAGCCCCCGCCCACCACCACGCCTAGCTCATAATCTTCGTAGATTTCCCTAGTGAGGATGCTCTTCCTGGACAAGGCCCTTTAGCTAAAGTCTTCTCGGTAGTTAAGAGGCGAGGTAAAAGCTCTTCCTGAGCCCTGGGGACTCAGTGGTCTTCAGCTCAAAATAATCCGCATGCCAAGGGGGCACATTCTGGGGAGACCCGTTCCGAAGCCCTACAGTGTCCTCTGTGGTTATGGGGTAAAGATGCTGTGCTCCAGCGAGCCTGATGGTCAGCCTCGAGTAGCCACTCAGCCAACTTAAATTTTATCAGTCAGCGGAAATGACCAGAGGGCACTGATCTGCGATTGCTCCTGGGTACGATGTGAAGGGTGAGAGAGGGATCTCCCGTGGTGGTTATGCTAGCAAACGTTCTTCAATATACTTTGGAACCTAGTTTAAAAGTTGAAAATCCCGTCTGTGTTAAGAAAAGCTTTGCTCGGAGTCACTACCCTGGGAAGGACAACCTAGCCCTTGACAAAGCATCCCAAAGGCACGGCGGTGTGAAGCAGGGCACCGTCATTTTAGGGAATATAAGGAGGTAGAACATTTTGTGAAGCCTTTGCCTAGGAATGAGATACGGTGCCGGGTAGTAACCTGGAGGTGGTGGGGGATTTCAGCTGTTTGGATTCGAACCACACCAGTGGGGCCACATCGTAATACTGTTATTTTAGAAGATAGTAACGCGTTTCCAACTTGGTCCTCCACAGTGACTGAAGCTGGCTTTGGCGCTGACATTGGCATGGAGAAATTCTTCAACATCAAGTGTCGGGCCTCCGGTTTGGTGCCCAACGTCGTGGTGCTGGTGGCCACCGTGCGCGCTCTGAAGATGCACGGGGGCGGGCCGAGTGTAAGTCTCCCGCTCCCTGCCCGGGAAAACCCTTCTAAGTTAAGGTAAAGCAGGACGGAGCAATGGAGAAATTCAAACCTGCGTAATAATTCCCATTTTCTAAAAGGTCTCCTTTTTCACCCATCACCATGAAAGGGCCCTCAGAGCTTAGAGAGTTCTAGGAAATAGTAACACCCACAGTGTTGTTGCTAGGCGATAGTTTGGAAAGGAGCGTAAGGCAGCCACTTCTCAGCCCTAAGACTCTTCTCTAAAGCTGGCATCACCGTCTCATAGCCCCGCGGTGACAGGAGGGCACAGGCTCCAGTTCCGGAATGGCGCACGCACCGGTCGGAGTGGTCGCTGTCAGGGGTTGAGGTTGTTTGGTGTTTATACAGGTATTTTGGTTTACCAGTTACATCTAGAACTACATTTCTTTTGTTTCTGTCTATCATGATTTCACTTTATAACCTTCTTATAACACTGCATTATTTCCAAGAGCTTTGCTTTAAAAACAGAAATTTTGTTTTAACATCTTTAAAGACTTTGATATTAACCTGTCTTATTCTACGCAGAATTCACACACATCTGAAAGGGAATTTTCTTTTTTTTCCACAGGAAAGGTGTAGTGTTTTTCTTTTCTCATTTTTAGGTACCCCTGTATTTTCAAAGGGAGAATATAAAATTTTACATGGTTAATCATTTTTGAAATAAAATAATTTGGAGTGGGTTTACCATTTATGCTGTCAATCTGTTACACAAACTGCCAAATCTGATTCCTTAGGTATATTGTATACACAAAAGTCATGTAATCAATGATAATTGCACAGCAAGACAAATGCTGTGCATTGTTTACTCACCCTAGCAATTCTTTGTCCCAGGAGAAGCAGACATTATTTTAGACCATTTTACAGATGAGAAAGTCGAGGTTTCATGGGTTTGGGGAACTCGGGCACCTGGCCCGCAGAGAGCCAGGTGGGAAGCCTGGGACTTAGGTCCCAGCCTCCTGCTCTGCCCACCATGCAGAACTGCATATTTACATTTTCCAAATCCCAGGTCCACTCTTACCCACTCTGTTGTAGCCTAAAGCTTCATCTTTATTTCAAATGGAAGACTGATGTAACATACATTATCTTATGGTGGTGGTGGGTGAATCATACAGAATTCTGATTTTGTGTAAAATACCACTTGTAGCTACAATCACTCCTTGACTTTAGACTTTGAGTCTACATACCAACTTCCATTTTCAAAAACCTAGTTCTGCTGATATAAGACGTACTTGAAATTTCCCTCCATATTTTGTATCCTAAAAATTATAAAACCAAAGGGCTTTATTACTGGAAAGGGTTTTGAGATTGTCTAGTCCACCTCAGTCTTCATAAAGGAAAAATCAGTAAGGTGCAGGAGGATTCAGTATCCTCCTTAGTACCACACGTCTCTTTAGGGGACTAATCAGATGTAAAAATCAAGGTCCCTTGGCTTTTAGTCCAATGCTTTTCCACACTCTAGTCTCTTTCCTGTAAAAATTTTCTACATGATTTATAATCCTATTTCAGTTCATCTTAATGTATGTGCTCATTGTTTACAGTGGTGGCATTTTCTTCTCTCCTTAATCTTCCACTTCACTTAAAGTCCTGGTTTCATGCCAGTGATGATCGGAACAGGCTCAAGTCACAGATGGAGGTGGAGGATAATGAAAGGGGAGGATCGGGAAGCCAGGCGAAGCTTTAGCATCAACACTCCCCTGGGCTTCAGTAGCACCTTCTGTATCACCGTTTTAAGAATGTCTGTATGTATGTCCCCCTGCTCCACTTCGAATTGCTTGAGATTAAGGACTGTGTCTTATTAATTTCTGTATCCCTAGTGCCTGCCATAGTCTGTATCCAGGAAATGTTTTCAATAATTGAATAATAAAAGAGCTTTGATCTTCTTAATCCTATATTCTACGTTATCCCTCTTACAGTCATTTCTTCTTTCTTGAAGCAGCCCTATGGTAATGCCTTTGATCCATTATAATTTCTACTTCCTTTTGATATCATTACACAAATAACCATGGCTGTCTCTTATGTTTATTCAGCTTGGTTGTTTTCCATAATTGTGCAGTGGAAAATCCTCTGACCCTTGAACTTGCCCATTTTAGCCCCAATCATTCCAAACTCATATCCTGTCTTCCAAAATGCTGAGCATTCTTGGTGCCGTGTAAGAAAGCTAACATTCTGTTATAGTTTCATTTTATGATTAGTTTCCTAAGCCCACTGTATGAAGGAAGACACTTCAGGACCAGTAGGATGTGTATTTCCATAAAAAGAAAGCAGGTTTGTGACATGAACACTGGCCCACAGTGTCCGAGGCGTTATGGATGAGATACAAAACAAATTCACATGGACCACCCGAGTCCTGTGGAGGAAAAGGGACAGTGCGGCTACTTTCTCAAGGGGAGAGTGCCCCAACCCTTGCCTTGACAGGCTTTTATTGGCTTTCAATCTGCATAGGAACACAGGTAAAGTTCATTAATCATTGTCAGGCAGTAAAGATCAAACAATAGACAGCATACAAAGAACTACTAGGGCTTATTCTGAGTCAGGGTCTGTTAGCTAAAGGGCTACAAAACTTTGGGAAACAAACTCAATTCCTGTTTGGACCCTTATCATTTAATTGAGAGCATTCTTGGCAAAGAAAACCTACCTTAGCAGGTTTCACGGGATTTTATATATTCTTTCTTAGGCCTGATCACCTGGGGAACCCTCCCTTTCCAGCACAGAGCTGCACTGCCCTCTGTCATTGTTTCAGGCTTAAGTCAGGCAGGGGAAGTAAGGCAGCCAAGAGATTAGGAGACTTCTCGAAGACAGAATGAGGACTCAGGCTATGTCAAAGTTGAGGGGTGAGGGTCCATCAACCCCTTTTGTTATATAGCCTCCCAAGTCCTTCCCTGGGGGCCCCTGTGATCGTGCCTGTCTTAGGTCATTCTTCCCTTAAGGAATCTTACCCATCATTGGCCAACCAATCAAGCATTGGGGGTCAGGCAGGGTGAAGTAAAAGAGACAGAGGCATCCTCCTTGCCAGGGAGATAAGCTTTATCTCCTTAGTGGCTTATGGTCTGAAGGTCACTTTCTCAGCCTCAGCCATGGGGAGATTACAGCTTCTGAAGCCAGGCAGGGTGGTTCCCGACAGTTCTGGAGGCTGACAAGTCTAAACTCTGTAGAGGGGCCAACAGGCCGGAGACTCGGGAGAGCCGATATTCCAGTTCCAGCCCCAGACTGAAGGCCTTCTGCTGGAGAACTCTCTCTTGCTCCGTCTCTGCCCTAGTCAGACATTTCAGCTGATTGGATGTGGCCCGCCACTGTGTGGGGGCAGTCTGCTTTCCTCACACTGAGCCGATTTAAATGTTATTCTAATTCAAAAACATCCTCCCAGAAACACCCAAAATAATGTCGGGCCAAATGTCTGGGTGCCCTGTGCTCCAAGTTGACACATGAAATTAACCAGCACACCCACTAGTACTAATTTTTGGTGTATGGTGCAATGAGCAGATCTAATTTTATTTTTTCTGTGTTAACAAGCAGTTGGCCTGGCCCAATTTCCTGAAATAACCTCTCCTTTCTGATCTGCAAGCCTACTTTGTCATAAAGAAGTTCTCCATGCATGCATGGGTCTCTCTGGGACCCCCTTCACTTGCTCTGGTATAGTTACATGTAGTTACATCAGGGCTGCACCAGCAGCCTGCAGGCCAAGCCCCCAGGGTGGTCTCTGCCCCCGTGCACACTTGGTTTATCATAGCCCTTTCCCTTCCATACATGTATAATTAGCTCAGAAAGTTCCTTGAAGAATTTTTTAGGATTTTTATTGAAATGGCATCAAATCAACAGATCAATCTGGGGACACTTGACGACTTTCCCTTCAATGATTTACATCTTTTTAAATACATTTTAATAGCCCTGGCTGGTGTGGCTCCGTGGATTGAGTACCAGCCTGCAGACCAAAAGGTTGCTGGTTTGATTCCCAGTCGCTGCACATGCCAGGGTTGTGGGCCAAGTCCCCAGTCGGGAATGTGGAGAAGCAAACAATCACTGTTTTTCACACATTATGTTTCCCTCCCTCCCTTCCCCTCTCTCTAAAAATAAGTAAATAAATTATCTTTAAAAAATAAATATATATTTTAATAAAGATTTACAGTTTGTTGCACAAAGGACTTTTACATCTTTTTTACAGATTTGCTCTTGTGCACTTTGTATTTTTAAATGGTGTAGCAGGTTACTTTTGAATCCTTTTTTTTTTTTTTTTTTCCGCACTTCTGGGTTCTCACATGTTGCCTTTATATACAATAAATAACCTCTCTCAATTCCTTTGTTTTTAATTGATGTGTAAGTGACATCTAACATTATACTAGTTTCAGGAGCACAGCATAATGATTTGATATTTGCACACATTGCAGAAGGATCACCACCGTAGTCTAGTGAACATCTGTCACCGTACACAGTTACAAACATCTTGTTCCTTTTTTCTCTTGTGATGGGGTTTTTTAAGGTTCAGTCTCAGCAACTTTCAAGCATGCAACACAGTTTTATCAGAGTCGTCATGCTGTACATGACATCCCGTGACTTAAAAAATGCTCTTATTAATTGTACTACTTTAGCTATAGGTACTTTGGAGAGTTGTATATGGGCAATCATATCTGCAAAAAAAATGACGATTTTGTTTCTTTCAAGTCTTGGTATTGCTTTCCTTGTCAATACCCAGGTCTTCTTAGATGCAATGCAGTATTAAATAGGAGGGGAATAGGGGGGCATCCTTTTCTTATTCCTAATATGAAAGAAAATGCTTTTAATAGTTCATCACTAAGTATGATGTTTTCTATAGATTTTTAGTATAATTTCTTTATCAGATTAAAGAAATTGCCTTTTATTCCTAGTCTGCCAAGTTTTTATACTAAATAGGTCTTGAAGATTACTTCATCTATTGAGATGATGTGGTTTTTCTTTTTAATCTATTAGTGCTGCAAATTATATTATTTAACTTTCAAATATTAAATGAACTTTACATCCCTTTGAATAAATCTAACTTGGAGATATATTATCTTTTTTATGAATGACTGAGTTTTAATTGGTTTCCTAATGTTTTAAGTAGGATCTTTACATCTTTATTTATGAGCGATATGTTAACCACATGAAATAAATTGAGGAAGATTTCTTTTTATATACTCTGTAAGGGATTTTGTAACATTAGCATAATCTGTTTATTCAAAGGTGGGAAGAATTCACCTGTAACACCCTCTGGGTCTATTACTGATTTAGTGAGAGGTAGATTTTTAACTGCACATTTTGTTAATGAATATAGAACTGTATAGATTTTCTGTTTCTTTTTTAAGATTTTATTTATTCATTTTTAGAGAGAGGTGAAGAGAAGGAGAAAGAGAAGTAGAGAAATATGTATGTGTGGTTGCCTTTCACGCACCCCTTACTGGGGACCCGGCCCGCAGTCCTGGCATGTGCCCTGACTGGGAATTGAACTGGCTACCCTTTGGTTCGAAGCCTGTGCTCAGTCCACTGAGCTCCACAAGCCAGGGCAGATTTTCTCTTTCTTAAATGAGCTATAATAAAAGTTACAACTCTGTGAAGTTTTCTGTGGTTTTAAATGGATTGACATGCAGTTTGTCATCCTGTTCTGTTCATTCTGTGTATAGCATATGTAGTCATAATATGTTTTCATTCCTTATTTTAAAAAAGCCTTATCAGAGTGTTGTGGACTTTTGTTAGTTTTTTTAAGAATCAACTTTTGGTTTCATTGATCGTCTCGTTGGTATTTGCCTACAGCCCCTTCTTACTGCTCTTGCCCAATGTCTGGTTCTGCAGAACTTCACATGTGCAAGCTCAGCGGTACTTTACGTTCTTTTTTCCATCCAGCATTGTAGTTGGTTCCAACTGAAAGGTTCACTCTGTTTCTGTCGACACTGCTGCCGGGAAAAGCCATCTGAAAATACTTTGTTTTCACACACTATCCAAAAACAATCTGTCACAGAGGTAACTTCTTTCCAAAGCATTTCTAATATCCTCAAGGCCTCTTCCACTGAGCGCAGTCACTGTGGCCTCCGTAAATCAAAATGTGCCCCGGTATTTCACCAAAACCAGTAGCAGGTCGCCGACGAAAACCATGTGGGATTGTGGAAAAGCACTGAACTGGTTTCAGAACCCTATCACATTCCGGCCCTCTTTCTGCTCTCCTTTGCTCTATTATATCTTGGGCAAGACACGTGCCTTCTCTCAACTTTATGTTTTTGGCCAACCAACCCCCCCACCCACCCCCAAGTAGTAACGGCATTGCTTTAAAATGGTTGAGGATTTATTTAGAATTGATGGTGCACTCTGTGTAAATCAGGTATTGATCATATTATCAATTCTGTTTTATGCTAGGGTAATGGGCAACAGTGTAAAAGTTCTCCATTTTAGCTCAAATTAGATTTGCCGGGGAGGGGGCAGGGTGGGGGTGAGGGGGTGGTTTAAACATCACTGCCCCTGGGCCCCACTCCCAGGAGCCCTGCTTTAGTGGCTCTGGTGGGGGGTGGGAGGCCATTCATTGGTCCTTGTAAAGGGCTTCCCACAAGACCTCATGTTCAACCAGGGCTGCCAGTTACTGGCTTCACAGTACAAAATGTGCTTTTAGAGATTCCTTCCCCTAAAATGGCTATGGTTTGTTTTTCTTTCAGATCTTGATCAGTTGGAGTAAGCATTTTAATGAGATTGATTTTCATTTTGTCTCTTCCCTCAGGTCACTGCTGGTATTCCGCTTAAGAGAGAATACACAGAGGAGGTAAGGGTGACTGGGTTATTCGAAGGGCTGAAGTGGAGAGAAGGGCTTTTCTAATAATCCGAGAGGAAGTGGTCGGGGGCAGGGATACAGTCCATTCAGCGAACTCTTCAGTCTTAAGAAATGAGAGATGTGGTCTTTATCTACTCCTCCCTACCTCCAGCTCAGTCTCCAGCACAGAAATAAATATAAAGCTTATACCCATGTATTCTTCAGGTGTGGAAGAAACTGACTCTTGGAGGACATACCATTGGCTTTTCGACTTGGCTTGAGTTACTTGACTCTGCTGTAAATAGACTATGGTTTACTGGCAACAGTACCTCTAGGCTCCTACAGGTGGCGCCAGGGGTTTGAGCAGCGCCTAGCTGGACAGCTCTTCTCACCTTCCCCCGACCTTGTGCCTTCTTGTTCATCAGCCTGCAGGGCGTGGGCACATTGCTTATGTCCTAGCCACTGGTCAGCTGCAGAAACAGCTGCCCGGCTCTAGACCCAAATATGTCATTGGACTCAGAATAATTTTAGAAGTTATTTTGAAATGAGCTACCTCCTTCAGCCATCTCTCTTAGAAGAAAAAGGAGATTTAGGATCTTCTTGGATAGCTTCTAGGACTGTAAGGTGAGCAGGGACAGAAGCAACACCTGCCACGGTAGCCCTGCGAGTTTAGTCTGGCAGGTGTAGTGGGAAGTGATACACGGGGTTCTGGTTTTCTTACAGAGCATCCAGCTGGTGGCAGACGGCTGCTGTAACCTCCAGAAGCAAATTCAGATCGCTCAGCTCTTTGGGGTCCCTGTTGTCGTGGCTCTGAATGTCTTCAAGTAAGTCATTAAATGACTTCAAGTAAGTCTTTAAATGTGGTTGTTGCGTTGGGCCACCCTGCGAACTAGATTTCTGTCTTAGGGTGTTTGGTCTTTCTCTGCTTCGTCTAAAAGTATACAGAGATACTCTGCTCTTTCTGTTTGTTTGGTTTGGTGTGATTGGTTTCATTTCAGAGAAGTGTTCTCAGATGTTACTAGGGAAATGGGAGCTGTATCGTGACTTACATTTCTTTGGCCTTTTTTTTTTCCTTCCACTCCAGCATTTCTGTCTGAAAGACCAGATGATCAAAGGGATGTGTTATGGAATTTTCTCAATAAAACCCTTAACAACTTGAAATATTTGAGTCATGTTGCAGGGGATTTTTTTCCCCATGCTTTTCTTTAAGTCTGATTTATTTAAACACGATGTAACCACTTTTGATGTTTAAAATATATTCAGTGTTATGGAACAAAGTTTTGTAGCAATGGTTAGCCCCTCTTTTAAAAACATTACTTAAATGAATACAGATGCAAAACCACAAACATTTTCATCACCAGGACCGACACCCAGGCTGAGATTGACTTGGTGTGTGAGCTCGCAAAGCGGGCTGGCGCCTTTGATGCGGTCCCCTGCTATCACTGGTCGGTTGGCGGAAAGGGCTCGGTGGACCTGGCGTGGGCCGTGAGAGAAGCTGCAAGTAAAGGGAGTCGTTTCCGGTTCCTGTATGACGTCCAGGTAAGATCCCACAACCGTGCTCACAGTGGCTAATGTTTCTTGCGCTTTTACTGGTACCCGGCCAGTGCTGAGAACTTGGCATGGCTCGTCCCAGTTGGTCCTCACAACAGGCCCCAAGCAAAGAAGAAAGTGAAGGTGAAAGAGCTGCAGCCGTCTGATGAGGCCACGTTGCCAAGGCCAACCCCAGGGTCAGCTCCTTGCCCCAAAGCCTGTGCCCTTGAAGGTACTCAGCTTCCAAAGAGCAGGCAGCATTGAGGAGGGGCTGCAGAGAGTAGGGTTCAGCCACGATGCTCCCAGGGTCTGCACAGGAACAAGACTTTTGAGCAACTTCACAAGGCTTGTGAGATCATGGTCGAATTTCCTTTGTCCATTTCTGCTATAGCTCTTTTCCCTCCTTATGGTTTTCTTGAGCTGTGTCTGGTGTATTTTTAAATTTTGTTTAATTATGATAAAGTACACATAACGTGAAATTTATCATCTTTACCATTTTTAGGTACGCAGTTCAATGGCAGTAATTTTTCACATTGAACAGTAGTTCCCCATCCCTCCTCTCCGCTCTGCCCCAGGCAGCCGCCATTGTACTTTCCGTCTCTGTGAGTTTGATCACCCTGGGTGCCTCGGGTAAGGGAAGCTATGCAGTGTCTGTCTTCCTGTGACCGGCCTATTCAGTGTCTCCGTTCCTTTGCGCTGCTGTAAAAGAATGCCGCAGGCTGGGTGGCCTACAAGCAACAGGGATTGATTTTCCAGAGTTTCGGAGGCTGGGAAGTCCAAGGTCAAGGCCCTGGAAGATTCATTGTCTGGTGAGGGTCTTCTCACTGCACCCTCACATGGTAGAGCGGGTGAGGGAGCTCCACAGGGTCTCTTTTTAGGGGCACTACCTCCCTTCATGGGGCCTCCACCCTCATGACCTTATGGTCCCCAAAGGTCACCATCTTCTAATACCATCACCTGGGGGATTACACTTCAACATGTGAATTTGGGGGGATGTAAATATTTAGTCTATAGAAGTCATTTAATATAATGTCAAGATTCATCTGTGTTATTGTATGTGTCAGAATTTCCTTCCTTTTGAAAACTGAGTAATAGTCCATTCTGTGCATAGACCCCATTCTGTTTGGCGGTTCCTCTGCGGCTGGGTACTTAGGTTCCTTCCACCACAGGCTGTTATAAATTAGGTTCTGTGAGCATGTGGATAAAAGTACTTCTTCAAGACTCTGCTTTCAATTCATTCTCCCAGAGGTAGAGTTGCTGGACCGTCTAGTATATTTTTAAACATATCAAGATGATGAGCCTTCACTAATAACAACTGAACATCCCAGGACCTCACTTCGTCCTCACTTTATCCCAGGACCCACCTAAACATCTGTTCTGCCTTTCGTGGCTCTAGCTCTGGCTACCAGATCTGTCCTCAAAGGCAGCCCATGATTGCTAGAGGGCTCAGCCTCAAGCCCGCTGCTGCTCCGCCATCCCCATCCCTCACAGGTTCTGTTGGCCTGTCTCTCAGATTCACAGACAGGACCCCCTCTCCTCTTTCCTGTTCAGATGGCAGAGACCAGAAGAGAGGGCGTAGCAGCAGCATCTGCATGCCTAGCGTTGCATCTGCATGAAGCATGATACTGACCTGACAGTGAATGCTCCCACTGAGGAAGGCTTTTTGAGTGCCAGGCATAACGGGCACTTTGTACATGAACTTCGTTGGTTCTAACGTTCCTGTTGGGTAGGAACTGCTGATACCTGCCCCCTGCCCCTGGTATATATTTTAAGATAAGGAAACTAAAGCACAAATAGGCAATAACCTGCCCAGTGTCCCATAGCCAGAAAGAGGCGGAGCTGGATGAGTATCTAGAATGGTGGAGGCCATTGTCCTGCTCTGTTCTCCAGAATTCAGTCCTGTGTTCAGAAGTGGGGCTGGGGTGGGGGAGCTGCCACTTACAGGGCCACTAACTGAGTGACCCACCTACAGAGGAAGCCTGGCAGCAATGGACACGGAGCCCAGGCAATTGAGAGAGATCGTATGCACTCCATAAATGTTTGTGAAAGGAAGGGCTTCAGGGAGGGGTTGGGGTGGTCAGCTGAAAGCAGGTTTGTCGTGTTGTAAAGCCATTTTATGAGTGAGAGACTGGGATGCTCTGGGTTTCCGAGTGGGCAGAGGGCAAACGGGGAGGGGACCTGGGTTCGGCATAAAGAAAGGTGTTCCAACTAGAAGCTGAGGGCTGAGTTCTCTGACCCTGGAGATGATGAGCAAAGGCGGAGGCAGCCCTGCAGTGGGCAGGCCAGGTGAGTGGCAGCCAATCGGATGATGGCAGCCCAGGAGATCTTGCATCCCTCCTGCTCTCTGCTGCCCAGGCAGGTCTCAAGGGGTGTCTCAGCACCTGGCACAGCCTGCAGCCCTCTCACACAAACCGCTTCAGGAAGTCACTCTCAGGAGCACCCACTGTGAGTGGCAAAGGCACCTTGTTAAGTGAGTGACTTCATAGTGTGCCCCTTTTCAAAGAAACCCTCACAGGTGGAAAGGCCCCGGAGCAGAAGAGATGCTTCTGAGCTGTGCCGTCTCTGACATGTGTGGTAACCCTAAGATGAACCCTTTTTCTTTCCAGGGATTTTTCCCCCTGAATTCCCATTCTTCATGGAGATAATGCTGTTCAAATGTCCACTGTCCTGTGGGAAGGGTGAAAATGCACAATGATGTGGTCTGAAGTCCTACACTTGTGTGGCCTCAGGGCCAGGATTCTACCTCCTTTGCCAGCAGGCTCTGCTCTGCTTTCTTCTAACAGAAACTAGATTTGAGCCCATACTTGTGCCTTGGATAATCAGCCTCCCAGCCTCTTGCTCCGTGACAGTTTGTGGAAAGAGTTATCGCCACTCTGGCTCATGTTTCTCACACTGGCAAGATCGTTGTGGACAACATGAGCCCGTGGACGCTCTTGTCTGGTAGCCATGTACAAATCCGAACTTGCTGGCGCAGTTGACAACGGAGCTCATACTTCCCCCGCCCCTCCGATTTCTTGCATATTCAGTGCTGGTGAACCTTTACAGACTAAGGAATGGTTTTCCTGAAACCCATCGGTTTCTTTTCTGTTTCCCCCCAGGACTAATCCTTTGATGCTTGGCAGCTTGATAGGTGTGGGATTGCTCTGCAGGAAGAGAGAGGTGATAAAATACTCTTGGATGAATCACCCTGCTGCCTCCGCTTCTCAGTGCAGACTGGGCTTGTGAGTGTCTTTTGTGACCTCCCCCGACTCTATTCCACTGAGAATGTACTTAATGCAGGATCTACAGCATCTTATTTCCTCCTCCACCCCTGCCCCAGGCTTGTGTTACAGAAGAAAGACACCTGAAATCACTTGGAGGAGGTTGACATAGTGGAGGAGCACAGGGCAGGATTGCTTTTGCGTGGGGAGTAGAAATTGGCGTAAGACCCCCTCGGAACGAGAAAGTTAGAGAGGAGTGGAAACAACCGGACCCAAGAAATGCCGTGGGGCAGACAGCAGGGAGCCCACAGTCAGAGCAAGAATCAGGCCACACTGCTGACGTGGGGGGTCTCTGCTAAACCTCACAGAAAACTGAGGTGAGCGGGCACTCCTCTAGAGAACAATTCTGTACATTTTTCCCCGGAGTATCTTCTCATTCAAGGGCAGGCAGCTTTTGGTCAGGGTACTAGAGATGGCTGTTGGTTAATTCAGAGTAACTCAGAAAATATGGATTAAGGTGCAATGGCCTGATTGCTCCTGGGAAATGCATTGTGTGGGGAATAACATATTTTACATTTGAAATACAGTGCATCGGATTCTCTCAACCATATTGTCACCAGAAAGGGACTTGGGCCCAGAGCAGATCTGTCTCGGGCTGGCCTGTAGTGTGTGGGTTCTTGACCCTCTGCGGGAAAGATTTCACAGGACCAGGTGATTTTGAGAGTACGTTTATTAAAGCTCGGGGTAGTGAAGCAAAGGAAGGGTTTCGGATTGAAGAAGCAGCAGGAGAGAGCCTGGGCCGTGCTCTGCTTTGGCTCCCTGGAAACGCTGTAGCAAAGAAGTGAGCCATGCTGGGCTGCGGGGACTCACTGAGAAGCAAAAGTCACAGGGACAGAAGTGAGCCAAGGCAGGGGCTGCTGTCGGCTCCCTGAAAAGTCAGAGGAAAGGGGCCTTGGGCACTTTTAGATTTGGGGGTTTAGCCTGGCACGAGCAGTCTCTGCCCACTGCTCCCCTGATCGCAAGTCTTGGGGACACAGAGTTTAGGAGAAAGCAAAGGTACACACCCAAGAAAAGGAGGGACACAGGTGTGCTCCGAGGAGAGCATGCTGGCTTTCTTTATCTTGAGAGGTTTTATCTGTTTTTCTAAGGAGGGAACTTTAGGGGAGGACTCAGGGAAAGATCTTAATAGAATATTTGTCAGCTTTGCAGGCAAGGCCTCTCAGGGTCGTGGTCTCCACTGACTGGTTGGCATCAGGGCAGGGGGGTCATTAGTCATCACATCTGGTCCTAATGTCAGCCTCTTCTGTCATCTCTAGTCTATCCAAAACTTGTCACTGTAGTTGGCAGACTCGAGGCTCTGTCTCTAAGGTTATTTGATGCAGGTCAGAGCTTCACTGTCCTGGGGGCCCAGTGCTTAAGGGTGTGGTCGTGCCAGGGCTTGTATGGGAGTCATGCGGCTAGCCCCTTGGTCTCCTTGGGGGTCTGTGACCACCTGCTTCACAATATGCCGGGGGAGGAGAAGCCAGGGGAGGGTCCAAACTGCAGTGACAGGAAAGGACTAAACGATATGACCGGCGATGTGCTAAGGGAGGCAAGGTCCTTGTTTTCCCTGTTGCTAGGCTTTCTGCCCTGGTGGCCTTCTGCACCTCCCAGTGCTCGTGTCTGTCTGGCTGCCGACCACAGTATTATATCACACATTGGGACAACCACAGCCTCCTTTAAGAAGCTGCTATGGGTTCCCCCCAAAGTCATCTTGTCTATGACTTTTTCTTTTGTATTATTAGTTTTCACAATTATATCTTCATAGTT